AACCTTCCAGATAATGGTAAAAACTGCTGCTCTACAGAGACCTACTTTTAGAGGAACGATCAAGACACAATCTCATCCAAAGAAACTGGTATTTATTGATTAATCTTAAGGTTATAGTGATAAATGTAGGTGTTTAACCATTTGTGGCCTCAAAAATATTCAAGGAAGGATATTCTTCTATCTTTAAGACACAAAACTCTCAGCCTTCAAGCAGACTCTATTTAGCACCTGAAGGGATCCAGAGTTAATATAAGGAAAGTTTTGTCCTTACTCCTGTGCCCAAATGCAGCAACGTGGGGTAGCCCTTAATTAACCCTTAAATATAAATTAGGCTCTGACCAGCAACTTCACTGTCCATGCTCCATGTATAAAGTATATCGATCTTCTTTCCATCAACAGCAAAGTGCCCTTTTATCAGACACTGGCTATCCACCTAAATAGGATATTATCTGCCTGGTGATTCCTGTCCAAAACCCAGTGCAGACAATCACTATTCTACAGGGAAAATCTAAGTAGATTTCAAATTTCATTTAGTAATAAACCGTCTTGTCAAATAAAATTCTGCACTCAACTCTAACACATAAAATAGTGTTTTATTAATATAAGTTTAGTTCATATTCAAAGAAAATAACGTTGTTCAGATGGACTCCCCAAATCTTTAAATTAGTGGTTATAGTTGTCAGCTGTAGCTACACCAGCCTTACCATCCAATCAGTCTTTGTATTTTGTTGTAGTGGCAAATATTAAGATAACCCTAAATCACACAAGAAATTAATCTCAAATAATAGCAGTTGTCATACTGCATCCTCAGAATTCTCATCACTATCAGTAAAATATTTTATAACAGTTGCTTTTAAAAAGTGGTTTAAAAATATTGTTTTAAAAATATTTAAACTGTGTGGTACATACACACTATGGAATACTATGCAGTCCAAAAAAGGATGAAACCTGGTCCTTTGCAGCCACGTGGATGTAGCTGGTGGCCATTATCCTAAGCAAACTAATGTAGAAACAGAAAGTCAAATACTGCTTGTTCTCTTATAAGTGGGAGCTAAAATTGGGTACACATGGATATAAAGATGGGAACAACAGACAGTGGGGACTACAAGAGGGGGAAGAGTGCGGGGGGACAAAGTCTAAAAAATTACCTATTCAATACCATGCTCACTAGCTGGGTGATGGGTTCAACTGTACTCCAAACTTCAGCATCACATAATAGACTCTTGTAACAAACCTGTACATGTACCCCTGAATCTAAAATTTGAAAAAAATGAATGAATAAATGAATTAAAACAAATTTAAAGCAAATTCAAATTAAACATTTGTAGAGACCCTCTTCTGTCCTGACATCTACAGAACTCAGTTTGAAACACTGATCTAAAAGATATCATAACTTCCTCCCTGTGGTTACCTTAGTTGGTATTACCCTGTATTAAGCCACTTCATCAGCAAGCTACACACTTGGAACATATTATTCTGTAGAACACCATTTATATAACTAAGGTTTAGCTTTCTACTTTCCAAATTAATCAAAGAATAACAAGAAATACTATATGTAAAATATATTTTTACAAAACTTAAAGTAATGACATGGCCAACCCAAGCTACAAGACGACTGGAAAATGTAGTCTCTAGTTGGGAGGTCTGATTGCTGCTAAAACTCAAGGAGTTCTATATCTAAATGAAGAAAAGAAAAAAAAAATGACTATTTGAAGACAATTAACAATCTCTACCATGAGGTTATGTGTTTTCCCCAAAAATTCTCCATTTGTCCCAGAAAATGGCATTTACATCTGTCTTAACTAAATAAAGACCTAATGCAGGATCCTGCATTGTTGTGATCCCTTAATGTTGAATCTTTATGTTGGCATAATAGTCACCTCGATTGTTGATGAATGAATGTTTTTCTCACTTTGGTTTTTTTATTGATGTATAACAGATGTACATAATTTCAGGGTACATGTGATATTTTGATATGTGTAAAGATCAAATCAGGGTAACTGGGATATCCAACACCATAAATATTTATCTTTGTGTAAAGAACATTCAAATTATTCTCTTCTAGCTATTTTGAAATGTATAATAGATTATTGTTAACTACAGTTATCCCACTAATCTATCTAATACTAGGTCTTATTTCTTCCATCTAACTGTATGTTTGTACTCATTAATCAATCTCTCTTTATTCCCACTCCTCCGCCTTATCCTTCCCAGCCTCTGGTAACCACCAATCATTTTAGCTTGCTTTTTGTTTTATTTCTAATGTAATTGTGGACTCAAGATTTTCACATATTTGATATGTTTTAATATAGTACGATCATTATTTTTTGAGGCTCAAATTTAATGCTCATATTGAAATAGCTGACCAGCAGGAATCCCTTTCACCTGGTTTCTGTGTCCTTTGTTAAAACTGTGGTAAAATAACATAACATAAAATTTGCCATTTTGGTCAGGTGGGGTGGCTCACGCCTGTGAATCCCAGCACTTTGGGAGGCTGAAGTGGTCGAATGATTTGACGTCAGGAGTTGGAGACCAACCTGGCCAACATGGTGAAACCCCATCTCTACTAAAAATATAAGAATTAGCTGGGCGTGGTAACAGACGCCTGTAATCCCAGCTACTCCAGAGGCTGAGGCAGGAGAATTGCTTGAACCTGGGAGGCGGTGGTTGCAGTGAGCCAAGATTGTGCCACTGCACTCCAGCCTGGGTGAGAGAGCAAGACTCTGTCTCAAAACAAACAACAAAAACAATGCCATTTTAACCATTTTTAAGTGTACAATTAAGTGGCATTAAGTACATTCATGCCAATATGCAGCCATGACTACTATCCAACTCCAGAACTTTGTGTCCTTTTAAGTCAACCTCATTATTCCTTGAAAGATTCCCTGTATATGAGATGTTGAACATCTACCTTTCACCTTCTTTACCCGAGTCTTCAAATCATCTGTTTCTCTGAGAAGCCCTGATTTCTTTTAATGAGTAATGGTATTAGATATATTAGTCATATTGTCACAATAATGCAGTAAAACAAATTACACAATTTCAGCAGCATGAAATGATAAGCATCTATTGCTAACACATTTAGAGTCACCTAGGAGTAGATCAGGTGGTTCTGCTGATCTTGGCCCAACACTTTCATATATTTTGATGTTAGATGACCGTCTGGCAACTTAGAATAGCTTTAGCTGGTGCAGATGAGGAGATTCAATTTAGTTCCACTTTTTTTAACATCCCACTGACTAGCCTGAGTATGTTCTCATGGTTGAGGCACAAGACCAAGCAAGTCCAGTTTCCCAATAGCTTTATTTTATTGTGGTAAAACATGAACATAAAAGTCACCATTTCAACAATTCCAAAGTGTACAACTGACTGGCATTTAATAATACCACAATGTCAGACAATCATTACTATTATCTCTAGTTCCAGAACATTTTCATCACTGCAAAAAGAAATCTCATACCCGTTATTCCTCATTTTCTCCTCTCCCTCAGTCCCTGCTATTTTTCTTTCTTTCTTTTTTTTTTTTTCACATTAACAAAAACAAGGTCTTGCTCTGTCACCCAGGCTGGAGTGCAGTGGCACAATCTTGGCTCACTGCAGCCTCAATCTCCAGGACTCAAGCAATTCTCCTGCCTCAACCTCCCGAGCAGCTGGGACTACAGGCGTCTGTTACCATGCCCAGCTAATTTTTGTATTTTAATAGGGATGGGGTTTCGCCACGTTGCCCAGGCTGGTCTTGAACTCCCGGGCTCAAGCGATCCACCTGCTTTGGCCTCCCAAAGTTCTGGGATTACAGGTGTGAGCCGCTGTGCCTAGCCACTCCCTGGTAATTAACTAACCTGCTTTCTGTCTCTATTTTGCCTATTCTGGATATCTCATGTAAATGGAACCACGCAATACGTGGCCTTTTGTATCTGGCTTCTTTCACTTGGCGTAATGTCTTCAAGGCTCAGCCATGTTGTAGCAGGTATCAGTACTTCATTCCTTTTCATGGATGAATAATATTCTGTCTTATAGAAGATGCCCATTTTATTTATCTGTTTAGCGGTTGATGGACATTTGGACTGTTTCCATCTATTGGCTGTTATGAATAGTACTTCTATGAACATCTGTGTACAAGTTTTTTACATCTGTTTTCAATTCTTTCAGTTATATATACCTAGAAGTCATATGGTAAATCTATGTTTAACGTTTTAAACATCTGACAAACTGTTTTCCAAGCAGCCACATGGTTTTACATTCACACTTACATTCGCACTAGCAATGTATGAGGGTTCCAATTTCTCTACATCCTTGCAAAACTTATGTGTGGTGTGAAGTGGTATCTTATGCTTTTGATGTGCATTTTCCTAATGACTTATGATGTTGAGCATCTTTTCACATGCTCATGTGCCATTTGTATAACTCTTTTGGAAAAATCTCTACCAAGTCCTTTGACCATTTCTTAATTGGGTTGTTGGTCTTTTTGTTAAGTTGTAAAAAATGTTTATATATTAGATTGAAAGTCTTTTATCATATACATGATTTGCAAATATTTTCTTCCATTTGGTAGTTTGCCTTTTCAGTCTCTTGATAGAATCCTTTAGTGCACAAAAGTTTTTAAATTTGATGAAATCCAATATACCTTTTATCGTTGCTTTTGCTTCTGCTATCATATCTAAGAAACCATTGCCCCCACCCCCAGAATTACAAATCATAGATCTCATGAAGGATATGTCTCTAGAATATGCTAGAATTGCACTTGCTGTTTCTCTCATCAAGAGGTAGGGTCGATTTCCACCACCTTGAAACTGGGTAACTTACTTTGACCAATAGAATATGGTAAAAAAATGATGCTGTACTAGTTTGCAGCTTTGCTCTCAAAAAATACTACCAGAAGACAAAGGCCACATGGAGAATAACTGAGTCACCCCAACCAACAGTCAACACCGCAGTCCCAGACATGAGACAGGTGCAGATGATCTTGCATGCTAGACCATCTGCCAAGTGGACAAACCTACCTGAGGAACCCCAGCCGACACAACATGTAGCAGAAGAACCATCCAGAAGCCTCATAGAATCATATGAAATAAAAAAACCGTTGTTATTTTCAGTAGTGGAGATGAAATATTACTAAGATTTACCAGTGATCTTAAATAAATGCACCATCCACTTACATGTTGACAGAAGTTCCAAAAAGGGAAAATCATGAGATTCCTAAAGAAATGGCAAATATTCCTTGATGTTTTGACTTTCTGGAGTTCTACATGCAAAAGCAGGGGAAAATATGCATATAATAGTTTTCCCAATACTCTATATGGCTCATTTAAAATTACTCATATTTACTTTTATTCATTTTACTAAAATTACTTCAAATTTACTCAAAATTACTTTCAAAAATTAATTACAAACAACAAACTTCTTTCAAAACAAAAAAGCTTTTAGATATAACTTGGAATTGGGTTAGAAGTACAATCAAATATGAAATTCACAGATGCAAGAGATTTAAATAGATTAGAGAAGCTGTGGCTTTATGAAAGTCTCTTTAAGATGCTTCTCCAAGGCAAATAATGATAAAAGTTAATAGAAAAGTCCAACATGGTTTTCAAAAAGAGCATTATTTAAAACCATTAGTATTAAACTTTAAGGCTCTATAGTACCAAGTTATTTTGACTTATGTGAAGCAATCTAAAAACATGAATGCACCTAAAGATTGTCAAAAATTATAGCTAGGAAGTCTTCCAAAGACCAAAAAAAGGCGGGGAGGGGTGAGCATTATAAGGTTCCTCAAAAGAATTTTATTTGAAAGTTAATGTCACTTCGAAATCACTTCTCTGCATGACTGAAAAGTGAAAAGGCTGCACTTCATGTTAATATTCTTCAAAGCATTGTTTTAAATTCTATTTGCCTGTGCTAAGAGAGACAATTAATGCTAAGCCACAGTAAAGTGTTACATTCCAATTGTACAGATCTGTTACTTGCAACGTGTCAGAGGGAAAGAGAAAAAGGGCTATTGAAATCTAATGAAAAACTGCAGTGCTTAATAGAAATAGAGTTTTTCAAAATGTTATCGGTAAGCCTACAAACTAAAAGGTCCCTGTAGAGACTTTTGTTTCGTTCTTAAATTACTTTTAAACTCTAGACTTGAGAAGAAATAGAATCAAACCCCGAACTTTCAAAACTTTTATAAAATATCAGTGGATATCTTCATATAGCATCCCTCAAGTATTCCTCATTCTATATGTTGTATTTTCAAAAAGTCAAGTAAACAACAAGCACTGTCTTTAAAATAACTTAAAGCAAGTGTGCACTAGTGCTTCCTGGTACAGAGTTTACTGTTAACTTTCTGTACCAGAAACCACCTCAAAGATCTTCAGAAAAGAAAACTAAGAGGTTACTATATGCCTCAATATCACCTATTATTGTCAGGTTTCTTCTGTAACAACTCTTTTTAAATCAAGAGAAAAACACAAAGCCAAAAAACATTAAAACTATTTAGTATAATTTCAGTTTCTTCAACAGCTTTATCAACAAACAATTAAATATAATTTGAGTTACTTTTAATATAAAATATTGAAAGTGTAATGAAATGTTTAAATGAAAAATATCAAAATATTTCCCCAGAAATTTTGAATAGACTGAAGTAGCATGCAATCTTCAAAATATACCATCTTTGCTCTTGTTGCTGTGGTAGAAATGATGCCAACATCCATTTTTTTCCATCCATTATTAGATGTCAAAAATATTATAAATCCACTGATTCAAAGCACTTTCCTAAACACAAAAGGAAAAACTTCTTATATTCAAATTAAAAAGACATTTATTACAAAATACTAATGGATGAAAATTTTTTTTCTATATTAGCCAGTCTAAAAAAGAAATGTGAAACCCATGGATGGAGGCTGAGGAGCCCACACTGGCTAATGTTCATTCCTTGGGCAGTTTGGAATGATAGAAGGAGCATAGCCTTTGGAGGCACCAAGTCTGGGCTCAAGCCTTAGCTCTGCTACTTAATGACCATGTGATCTGGGACAAGAACACGTAGCCTCCCTGCGCCTCAGTTTCTTCATCTTTAAAATGAGGCAATACTACCACCAGTTTCAGGAGGTTCTTAGGATTACTATAAAAATTGCTACAATATTATTATAGTAATTCATTTAATTTACTTTAATTCCTATAATAATTAAAGAACCAAACTAAAATACAGGACAGGACATCAATGACACAATATTTGGAAGGTAGGTGATCAGAATTAAATTGTTCTAAAGCCTTTGTATCATTTGGAGGAAAGGTTAAGATATTTAGATTTTGTTAAGCATGTATGGTAAAATTTCAAGAGTTTTCACACTGATTCAGGGAAAAAATAAGAAGAAAATAAATTAACAAATTAGAAAATGTATTCAATAAAAAATGAGAAAAACAACTAAAATATCTAAAGGTAAAACAGAGCAAAATTTGGATAAAAGCCACGAGTTCATATATTTCGTTGGTCACAATGGTGTAAGTAGTTTAGATTTGCCATGTAAAAAACAAAAAGAGATGGATTCTATATTAAAAAAAAAAAATCAGCTTTGTGCCTCAGGCTAAAGCTGAGGTTAGTGATAGACTTTAGGACAAAAAGTATCATTAGAGATGGAATAATTACACAGTAGTAAAGTTTTTATTTACTAATAAGATTTAAGAATTCCAAATTTATAGGTAATTCATCTAATAGCCTCAAAATGTACAAAGCAAAAATAAATAGAGTTACAAAGGCCAGAATAGATTCTGAGTGACTGCAGAGTTGCCACATGGTCAGATTACATTTCTGGACAGAAAACATATAAGTTAACAATTACAATAAGTATATAGTGGTTCAACAAAATAAACATTTGTAAGCACTTAAAATGAGGTAGGTGGACTCAGATGCTGGAGATACAGTGATATAAAGTTAGCTTCTACAGGAGTTCATGATCTATCTTGAACACACATAATACATCATAATGTGATATGGAAAGTATAGAAGTAAAAGTATGCTCAAATTGTTATAGGATTAAGAAATGAGTTGACTTTGTCTAAATCAAAGATTTCCAATAATCATTTTTGTCAAGATAAAACCTTTCATGATCCACTTCCCCCTCTTACATTTCTATATTATTTCCTGCAAATTTATCAACCCAAATACCTAAGTATAGGTGAAGAGCAAAGATAACTTTCATCTGGATTAGAGGCTTCTCAAACTACTGTTTAAGCGTGTTCTATAAAAAATTTTAAACTTTTGGTTTATATTTAGATAAAAATCTAAAGGAATTAATATAAACATATTTTCAATAATCTATGACCATCTTTTAATTTAGTATCACTGGGTAAATTATTCCCAAGTGAGGACCAAATTCATACCCTGTATTCATGAAAGATTCACAATAGTTCAAACAGAAAAGTCACAGAATAACTGAATATTCACACCCTACAAGGTAGAATAATAATGCAGAACTCAAAATGCACACTAATAGCACCATGTTAATGTTTTAAGAAATTGCTTCATTTAGCAAAGCAGCATCATTGATTGTTAATATGAATGGTATTAGTGTCACGGATTTTTTGTATTTTTATTGTTAATTTATCATGGTTTTACAGTTGCCTAGATCCTACAACAAAGGAGTGCAAACCTAGTTTGATATTAGCATATTTCTTCATTACATTCTTAATAAAAATACTACTTCAACACTGAGGATGTCCAAGAACATTTTGGAAAGTGTCTATACATTGTTTAAATTGGAAAATATACATGTGAGATGTAATATTAAACAGCTTTCTAAAGGACAAGTTTGTGATTTGTATCAGTTCACAGGAATGCACATTTGAAATAACATTAAGTAAAAATAACAGAAATATGATTTCATCATCCCTTGTTTGTCTAATGAGTGCTTGTGTGACAAAGGGTTAGTGTTATTAATATAATAAGAGCTCTTATAAATCAGCAGGAAAAATAAATATAAAGTAAGAAAAATCAGCAAATTATACAAAGAATATATGAAAGAAGAAATACATATAACCAAAAACATATAATAAATCTCAACCTCCTTACTAATCAAACAAATAAAAACTCCAACAATAAAATAATCATTTTTCATCAAATACTCTATAAACGACTTTGGGTACTTTTTAATGACAATTCCCTATGTTGTCAAGATTTCATGGAAATGGACATACATTCCTTGTTTTGTGGGTCAGGAAACTGTGGGATACAAATACACAAGCTTTATGGTATTAGCAATACATGTGAAAAACCTTAAAGGACATATCCTTTGATCCAAGAAGACTATATATATAGAATCTTCCCTGGTCAGGCTCGGTAGCTCATGCCTGTAATTCCAGCACTTTGGGAGTCCGAGGCAGGTGGATCACCTGAGGTCAGGAGTTCGAGACCAGCCTGATCAACATGGTGAAATCCCATCTCTACTAAAAGACAAAATAATTAGCCGGGCATGGTGGCAGGTGCCTATAATCCCAGCTACTCGGAGGGTGAGGCAGGAGAATCACCTGAACCTGGGAGGCAGAGGTTGCAGTGAGCCGAGACCACACCATTGCACTCCAGCCTGTCTCAAAAAAAAAACAAAAAACAAAAAAAAATCTGCCCTAAGGATGTAGCACAAACACAAGAATGTCCATCATAGCATTGGAAACAATCGGAAGTCCAACAGTAAGTTAGTTATATACATTATGTAACAACTACACAATAAGTTTGTTTTAATTTAGTCATTTTAAATTATATTAGAATTTTTATTTTGTGACATACAAAAATATTTATGAACACTGCCTCTGTTAAAATAAAAACTTTAGACAAATTAAATGTAACAGAGTTTAATTGAGCAAAAAAACGATTTAAAAGTTGGGCAGTCTCTAGAGGCAGAGTAGGTTCTGAGCGACTCCGGAGTTGCCACATGGTTGGATAACATTTCTGGACAGAAAAAAGAAAGTGACATACAGAAAACAAAAGTGACATACAGAAACAGCTGGATATGTTACAAGTTGGCATTTGCCCTATTTGAACACTGTTTGAACAGCTGGCTGCCCTTGATTGGCCAAAACTCTGTGATTGGTACAAGAATAAATTACAGTCCATTTATACATCAAGTTAATGTATGGGGAAATCTTTAGGCCGAACTTAAAATATATACAGAGGCAGTTTTAGGAAAAACTTAACGCCATATTTTTTTAAATCAGGTTACAAAAGTATGTGAAAATTTTACAAATTAATAAATTATATATGTTAGTGCACACATGTATATATGAACATGTATATATACAAACATATACAAAGGATAGAATAAAAAGCAATTCTCTCGGTTATTGGAATTATAAGTGATTTTATTCTCAATATTCTCTAAAATCAAATTAAAAATTAGTTATTTTTTATTTAATAAAAAAAAATCTATACCTTAACAGTGACCTAAAATAAAATTCTGAGAGCTGAAAAAGGTTTTCAGTTTTCATTACCAGATTTCATTTCTAAAGTAGGTTAAACTCATAATAAAATCACACTCAAAGACTCCTTTCAAGTTATTTCAGGATTCTGTCTGCTTTGTTGAAATTGAATTTATTTATGTTGATATGTAAACGTGCCACTCAATTGTTCCAAAGCATAGTCTAGATCTAAGATTTTTCGAAGCCACTAGCCAGGTTGCATATCTTCAATGTTTCCTCCACAGCATTTTGAACATAGCAAACACTCAATGAATACACACCACATAAGCTGTGTTGGTAGTTTGCCCACAAGTCCTCATGTCCCTTGGTTTATTAAAAGCATACCCACACCTCAACACTTTGTTCCATGAGCCCTTTAAGCAACCTCTGTTAGAGACAGTGAAATTCATAAAAATAGCATCTGATTGTGTATTCTGAGAAAAACTGGCACATTAGCTAAGAATGGTGTTGCATAAAAATTTTCTTATGGTGTTTTTGGTAGACATATAAGCTTATTCATTTGCCTTCAATGCATTCCTGAAAAATAAAACTTAAAAGTCACCAACTTGAAGTGTTGCATTGTCTTATAGTTTGAGCATTAAAATGTTAAGAATGAAGTAATCTAGAAGTTTTCTGCTCTTTACTATGTAAATTTCAGCTAACAGCAATCGTTTACAGGCAGCTGTTGCCCTTAATACTTCAACTTCTTCATGCTGAGATCTTTAAAATCCATCCACTTTTTAGAACTGCTTTCTCATTAAATATCAACCTTACTAACTACTAAATAATAAACTCCTCTTCCTAGGGATTATGGAGGAGGAGAGGAAACTCAATAGATTTTGAACAACAAATTATTAAAATATTCTCTTCTAAAACCTGTTTTTCAAAGAGCACCTGGAGAGGTTAAAATTAATGCATTTTTTGTTTTCTGTTGCTCAGCACATATGTCATTTGGATGTTGTTTCTTATCTTGTTCTACAACCCACAACGTCTACTGTCTAGTCAGTGAAAACTCTGTGGTTAGATCAGGATCACAGGAGACAGTGTCATGCTCCTTTGATGAATTAAAGATAAAATATTTTACAACCCAAAAAATAGTATAAAAGAAATGGACGGCTGTAGTAATAAGATACTTTTCTTTGCTGTACCACCTTCCTACATTTGAATTAGGGGATAATAATGTTTTGTAACCTTAAGTATCAAATAATCCATATACATTCCTCTTGTTTATTTCTTTCTGCCTTGTTCAGGCAACAGTAGTTTTAGTTTAACCTGATGTAACTCTACACTAGCTTTCCCTAGATTTTCACTATATAAACAACAACAAC